GAATAAAAATATTCACAATAATTTGTCAGTGCCTGTAGCCGAGTACAACGTAGGATGGTTATTAAATCTCACTGAAAGAGAGGGAATAGAGGCTTCGTAAGATAAGTTACAAACGTGAAAACACAAGACACGTAGAACAAGAAACTTCTACTTGACATCATAAATGTAAGAAATCGATCAACTACTTCGTAGACATTAACAAAAATGTAGAAAATTCGGATAAACGAAAACAAGAAATTTATGGTGTCTAAAATGGAAAGAATGAAGCCATAAATCGGAAGCAGTTGCAATAGCTGCCCAAGACGAAGGATTTTCTTAAAGTGGTTATCAAACTTTCCCCAGATAATGGCGAATTTGTCAAGAAAAGCAACAATTTATCATATCTTTTCAGCTTGTTCAAATTTAGCAAAGTCCAAACATATGAAAAGTCACGATAAGGTTTGTAACTACAGTAGAACCCGGTAATCGGAAGTAATTGGTGTGTGGCCTGTTCGGATTCGGAAATGTTCGGATTCGGAAAGTGGTTCGGGCATGTCGAAGATGCTTCGGGATTCGGAATGTGTCGGATTCGGAATGTGTCGGATTCGGGATAATGTTCGATTCGGAATGTTTCGGATTCGGAAATGTTCGGGATTCGGGAAATGTTCGGATTCGGAAATGTTCGGATTTCGGAGAATCGTTTCGGATTCGGAAATGGTTCGGAATCCCTCGGAAAGTGTGTCGGGGATTCGGAAATGTTCGGATTCGAAATTGTTCGGATTCGCGGATTGTTCGGGAATTCGGAAATGTTCGGATGTCTGGAATGTTCGGGAAGAATTCGGAAATGTTGGGATTCGGAAATGTTCGGATTCGGAAATGGTTCGGATTCGGTGAAATGTTCGGGACAATTTCGGAATATGTTCGGATTCGCGAAATGTTCGGATTCATGAAATGTTCGGATTCGGAAATGTTCGGATTCGGAATGTTCGGATTCGGAAATGTTCGGATTCGGAAATGTTGGATTAAATATGTTCGGATTCGGAAATGTTCGAATTATTCGAAAACATGTACCGTGCATATATAAATACATTATAGGGTTACCATTATATATAATTGATTTGAAAATGGCAGTTTCATGAACACTAAAAAATGAATATTCTCACAATACTTTGGTAATATTTATTATAATATTTCTTAATATAATACTAAAACTACGGCAGATTCTCAGATTTAATAAAATATATACTTTTCAATTTTAAAAATAATTACTTTAAAGTAAAATAAAACATACAATTTATCACTGAATTTCTTTTATTTTCCTAGGAAAAGGGGAGCATCAAAATGGAATGTTCGTTTTAAAGGGAGTTAAATGGGAAGGATAGAGGAGCTGGTGGAGGGGAACAATGAAAATTTTAAGGATATATTTTGTGAATAGCCTCTCCTAACTTCTTCAGAAAAAAGTCTCCTGCCAAGAACACTCTAGATTCGCTCCTACCCCACCCTCCTTCATACTTTCTCGCCCTCATGAAGGTACTTCGTAGAAAGAGAAAGTTATGTAATCGTGCGCCGGAAAACTGCGAATTTTCGGCAGAAAATCTCTGCCGAAAATTGCCCGGTCCTGGAAACGAAAAAAAAACGGATAAATCAAGATTGCCGAGTGAAAAAAAATCCTCTAACAAGTGGTGTAGCCAGAATCCATGTTTTGTGGGTCCTCGATATCGAAAAATCGACTGACGGTACAGCGTCTGTCTGTAGTCAACGCTAGTACCTAATCCGTCAGCTGATTTTCTTCAAAATTGATATTCCCTAATCGATCTAAATGAACTCGAGGCTTTGGGAATTTCGAAAGGAGAGTATGATTTTAAGGGTACTTTACACGAAGCCTCGAGAAAGTTTTCAAAATTTACTCAAAATGGCACCAAATTTGTTGATCGAACTTTGTCTTCGGATAGTGTAAAGGACACTTAAGTGAACGGTATCAGTCTCGTTTGCTGAAATCGCTGACTTTTTGAAAATTGCAAACGCGCATTTTTTTGTACGTCTTCGTAATTCTGAAGATATAAATTTTTTTCTTAATGAGGGATTATTTAAGTAGGTTAAAATTCGATTTTTCGAAACTATTAGTAGTTTGGTGCGAAATTTAGGCAGTTAAAGTTACTTTTATTCCCAAAAACCACTGCAATTTTTTTCTTTAATTGTTTTTCGTGGATAAAAGAACGGATGCTTAAAGGAATTGGGCGGGTCTCATTTTCGTTAAACACTCTGAATTTCCGAGAAATCGCCAATTTGGAGAATGCGAGAAAGTTTGTGCTGTTGAAGCACCACTAGTTCAGCTAGTCTCACTGAGCTGCCAGCAATGCGCGTCAAAAACATCTCGAGTCGCTCTCCCCCACTCCCACCCCAGTCGACCCCCGCCACTGCACTACACAACAAAATAAAACAATCCACTTCTTCTCGTTTCAACAATAACTTGAGATGACAACGACAAATCGCTTCGAGATTGTCGTTGAACGAAGTAATACTACCAAACAAGGTTGACAGTTTGTGTAATATTGTTCTACTCCTGACCCAAACTCAAAGCTTCTCCTTTGCTAATATCATCAGTGAACCTCATCAACAAGCACGATTGCCTATCAAGTACCCAAGTGAGATCCCAGGAAGTCAATACAGGGACTACGGCAGTCATCAGCACTGATATTCACAGAATGTTGATGAAGTATAAGAAATTACAGGCTTTGCAAATTTTATTAAGGTGGATGATGTTCTAATCACAAATTTAATTTAGCTAAACATTTGTGAAATTAAGGTCATATGTTTGGACGTCTTACTCTTCGAATGATAGAAACAACATATGCATTATACCACTTACAATTATTTACTTGTCTGCTTACATTACCTGAATAACCTTTTACATTACTGTTCTGAAAAGTAACTTAAAACACAATAATGGAAAATGTATGACACATTTAATGTTTTAAAAACTTCGGTATTTTAATTCAAAAGATGTTATGGTTTCCCAAAAACCTGAATGACAATTCAGTCATTAAAAAGAAAATAATTTAAAACTTAAACTAAAGAAACTTAATTTAATAATACTAATAAAAATCACAAAATCTAAGCAAATGAAAGGAAAGCATCACATGATCCGCAAGCATACTTCTCTTATCATTCTTTCAATCTCTTTAGTTCTTTACTGTTTCTTCTTCACAATAGATTGACAATTTATCGTACTGAATAGGATGCATACATTGTTCCACAGAAAAAAACATTCTTAAAATCCACACAACAGAAATTGGGATTGATGCCGACTACTCTAACTTATTAAATATAAAAGGTTTGTGCTCAAATACCCTAAAAATTTAGTTATGCAATTCTGCGTACTATGGAAAGCCTTCATAAGTATTTCATTACAAAAATAATTCATTGTCAAGTTTTCTTTTTAAATATAAAACAGTGACAAATTAACTTAAAAGCAGAAACAACCATGCATAAATTAACCAATTAAGGCTAAGTACATTCAGCTAATAACCAATTACCATTAAAAACAATATTTTTGGTGTCTAGGCCATAAAAGAAAAATTTTAGGAACATAACAGAAACTATTTTATCAATGTAACACGTGAGTTATGTATTTAAATTATTAATTTCTAAAAGATTTTTCTTAGTAACTTAAAATTCAAATATTCTAAAACGGTCTACATTCACTAAACTTTGTTCATCGAACCTCACATAAAAATAAATATCAATGCCTGCACTGTGTTTACTCCCAACAATAGTTGTATTCTCATTCAAAGTAAAAGTGAAACTTTAATTTAAAAAATTCACTATACAGTATACTAAAGAACCATCATATCATCTTCTAAAATTCTTGAATTTGGCTCCAAATATTCTACACCAAGTACAAGAGACGTATCCACCTTTAAGAATAAAAGGTTGTAAGCAACTTTCAATGTGAATTTGTACCCCAAGTTTCTGGATTAATAACAAATAACATAAGACAACCGTAAAATAACCTCAATTTGAGCGATCCAAGTGTCAAATTAAACATGCCACTCCGCTTAACTACACACTGAAGTTTAACCGGTATCTTATAAAATGCTAAAATCCTTATTAATAGAACTACAGAACTGGTTTTAAACTTCATATTCAAAGCGCTTCTCACGTTTGACGAACTTGCACCGAACATCTCAAAATCTTAATCCGAACGAACATAGACTTTAATTATGTCAAATTATTCCCTGAAAGTTGAGATGCAGACTAAAATGTCGCGGAAATTCTAATGTTCCGAATCATTTACTACATCGTATCGAATTACTTCATTCAAACATTCGGACCGTCATGTGTCACTCCACAAATCAATGGTTCCGGTCACAAAATCCATCTCCTTATTCAATGCTACACAAATCGCTGCACAGTGAAGCTTGAAAATGAAGGATGTACTGTACCTTGTTCGCTGATGATTTTACGATCTCCAGAAGCACAATTAAACTGCAATTCTATAATCCAAGTCCATTTCCTCACTAAAACATGAAAACAGCCCACTTTCCAGCAAAAAATTGCACCATATAGACAGTGACGTCAGCGAAAGCACCGGCCTTCTGGATCGACTATCTGCTATTCACCAGAGACTAAATGCTTCACGGCCTTCTATTCGGATCGCGCCGGAATGCCGGAGAATGTTAAGAAAATCATATTTGGGGAAATTGTAAGCGCAAATTTTTTGAAATTTCAAATTACCAAATTTAGTAGATTTAGTTATTCACTTAGTCAAAATATTACTATGACATTTAATAATAATATAACATTTTGACGAGTTTGATTTCTGTTTAAATAATAATAAGTTAAAATAACACAGTCTTTATTGATATCTAAATAATTTCATTAATACCAAATTACTCGATATTTATAATCTACTCAAATATGAAGAAAGTGAACATATATCAGCAAAAAATAATTTTTGAAACTGACAAATCTGATTAACAAACTGAACATAAAAATAGACGTTACATTAAAATGTATTCCAGAAATGAACTTTATTAACATACTATTACAAAATTGTGTCTTGAAAACTGTAACAAATATTCACCTTTTGACTGCTTGCTTCTTACAAGCAATGTCTCAATTGAAGCAATGGAATAATTACTCCAGCTGTCATAATTATAGCAATTGGTGTCTTGATACAAAATTATGTCTGATAAACAAATGTTAAATTTCCACAATAATTATGTAGAATTTGTAAGTAGCATCAGTGACAATACAAGCATAAAGTGTCGAGAATTGATGAGCTACAGTACTATGAGAAAATATGAAAATTACTTCATGTCTTTCATTAATGCACATTATAGAATCAGATCCATTACACTTATTTTTAATGTTCCCAGCATGTGTCACTTTTAGAAGAACTCTTTGAAACTGGATATACAAACTTTACAAAAATTAATCAACATTTCATTTCAAAATAATGATTTATCCTTATTATTAACAGTTATGTCAAAGAATTTTAGTACATTTCATGATTTTTCAATAAAAACATGCACTCTAAACACATCGCACAATATGAACAAATTTTACTGTAATTTATGAAGTTCATAAGAGAAAAATCAAAATTCTGAACTTATTCCGACATTAAGATTGATAATGTGTTTGCACACATGTCCTTTCCATTTTGAAATGTTTATATCTATATACCCCTTCAGTTGATACTTCTTACAAATACATTTTGAGAATACAATTAATTCATATTAATAAATACAGTCTTTACAAACAGTAATTTTTTGTGGTCAGTTCTTGATTTGAAAATTCTGTCAAATTTCACAAGCAAAAACTTTAGGCACAGTCATCAAATATACTAAACACCAGTCATTCTCTAATTTTCTTTTGAGCAAAGATCTTGTGTCTGAAAATTTACTTATTACTTCAAAATATATCACAGATTTCTATTAGTTGACTGAGCGCCACTATGTCACTTTAGAATCTTTATACATTGACAAACATAATTTTATTTGAAATTTCTACAACAATATTCATTGATCAAAATTTATAAGAATAAAGTTCTTATTATTTTTCATATTCTTTAGCTTGTAAACATTTGATTAAATTGTCCACAAAAGCACAGTACATGATACAGAAGAATATTAGAAGTACAAAAATATTAAGTGTAATGGAGGAAAACTTGCAAGTTACATAGTGAAGATATCATGATTTCAAAATTTAAATCTGGAGAGTTTATAGAAATTCTGTCATTTTCATTAAAAATGAGCAAATGTGCCCAGCAGATTTATCTCAAGCTTACCTAATAAAGTGAAAGGTTATCATAATATTGAAGAAAGTTTCTAAAACTAGTAAAATGCAATTTTCAGATGTAAAATTGTGCCCTTCCAATATAGCATACCATGCAGTCTTCAAAAACATTTAAATACCCTTGAAATTAAAATCAATCTCATGAATGATTCTGTACAAATTCATCAACGGATTAACAAATGAAAATGGATGAAGAATTGGTGAATCCATAAAATTAAATGGATTCAAAAGATTCTTTGTCATCCATCTCCAACTATAATATTTAGTCCTTCAGCATTTTGTTATATCCATACTGAAAGATAATAACTTTAATAAAAGATGATAATTATAAAAGAATCTTCTCCTCCCCGTTTACCAAGGAGTCGCCCCTGTATCTTGCATGTCCAATGGCCCTCTGCGCTCTGCCCCTGGAGCTGCACTCCCTGAGAAGGGAACTTGGAACTTCTTCAGAGCTGAAATTGAATGATATGAATTGAATAATATGAAGTTAAAATACAATATGTTTTATGCTTCATAAAGAAGTGTGTATGTTCTACAGCTTTTCAAGTTTGTTAACATACTGTTTTAACCCACCATACACCTTAATAGCTTATTCCACCTATGCAAAGATGACAGAATACAGATGGTCAATGTGGAGAATGGTACAATATGTGCTTAGATGAGAAGATGAAGTAAACGAGACAGATGATAAAATGAGATGCACAGGGAAAAATATCACAATCTTGTTTCCCCCAAAGCCAGATTCACAAAGAGCAAGAATTTCATTTTCAATACCCAAAAATAGAGAAATAGAGCTTCATATATGGGTCTTACAAATCACACTACTATCTGCCAGTGATGATGGGTGCAGTGAAGAGTGGTTAACAACGAGATGGAGGCCAACCCAGTTGTCTCTGCCTATAAAACCATGAGAAATCAATGGTCAAAAGGTGGCAGATTTTGTTGGTAGGCAAGTCCAGGGACGTCCAGAGAAAACAAAGAGGCCTGGGACAGTCGATCCACAGGGGTTCTTTATTTCAAGTGAAAATTTCTCTCCTCCAAACATAAATTAATCTCTCCAAGCAGCAGAAATAATTTATGAGAGTCAATGTGAATTAGAATTAAATATATTTTTTTATAGGTTTTCAATAAAAGAAACTTTGGGGGACCTCGATTAAGCTGCAGTGCAAGGCAAGTTGCCCCATCTACCCCCTTCCTTTTGGGCATCTCTTGGCAAGTTTGGTTTGCCCCCTTCTCATTGTTATTATTATTATTTTGTGAACCATCAGTTTCAAAGGCACAAGATGTTACTTCTATCTGCATTGGAACTATACTGTGTTTTTATTTCGGATATTTTTTATGTTTGAGATTCCATTGGTGCAAGCTAGAGCAATGCCAGTAGTTTAGAAACTCAATTTATAGAATTGCTGACAAAATACCTCCCCTCCTCAGCCTCATTCTTACTGCAACTAGCAAAAAGAGAGCTCAACAAAATGTGTACATAAATATATTTATCTACATCTACATTTACAATCCAGAAGCAAAACAAGGGACCTTCTCAGCATTTGCTCAATAGATCAAGAAAAATCAGTCAGAAGACCTGATTAAGATATGGGTCACTGACTCAGAAACTGAAGTTTAATTCTTATTGCAGGCTTCTTTAGTCTTTTAGAATAATGCAGTACAAATGGTTACTAATACATTTATGTCACTATTAAAATAAATATAATTTTTTGATTTTGAAGGTCACACTAGTTGTTGATTGTTAAGAAACACTTTTGAAGCAGAAGATATTTTACATGGCATTTCAACTTTTGATTCAACTTTAATTGTTTAGTGTCACTTGAAAACGAGTTTAAAAAAAAATGCCTATGTTGTATCAAGATTTCTTTTTTCTTTCTCTTTCTCTAAGATGTTGATGATATTGATTCCTAAAAAATTTGAAGATTTAATTTTATATATGTTTTACATGAAAATATGTTGCTAACTGTAAATCGGTTTTGGCAAAAACTACTTATTTGTAAATTAATTGGTATGGCAATGGTAGTATTCTGAGCTCAATGATGAGTGACTTTCAGGAATCATGTGGATATTATTAGTTTATTATTCAGACAACATTTTCTTCAATATAAATATCTGGGTAATATTCAATGTGCTTCCCCAAAATATTTTGCCATATCTCACGCATGAATTTATATTTACAAAGTACATGTACTGAGCTGTATGAAGGTTGATTTTAATTTGAAAGTGCTTTGAATGAGTAACTAAATAAAGTGTTCCCTTAATTTATATGGGTAGTCTTTTTGAATTTGTTTTTTTTTAATTGAGAGACCCAAAAATGTTATCTTTAATCCAATTGTATGTTTTTCATTTTTAGGGGTGCCTGCAATGTTCTTTTGATGTTCCTTTTTTGAAGAGAATATTTATTATTTAAAAATCACTGCAGTTCCATTTCTAATGGATTATGTCATTTTATGTACATTTTGTAAAAAAGAGGAGAGGGCCTACAATTGAGCCGTCTGTGGGACCCCAGTTTCAATTGGAAATGAATAGGAATGAGGAAAAGATAAAGTTCTTTCATGCTCATATGTTACTTTTAGTTATTTGAAATTCATGTATAAGGTGTAAATATATTCAAACTAGTGCAATGCCATGACTTCCTTATGATGGGAATTTTGAAAGCAAAATTGTATGGTTTCAATACAAAATGTTATCAAAAAATGGCTTTAAGTATGCTGTTGAATGGCATGTTTAATTTCTGTTTAATTGTGTTAAAAATACAAATATTGTTAAAAGTTTAGTTTTTAAACTTTTTCAAATAATGTTCCTAAAACACCAAAAAAAATTCATATATTTTTTTCATTTGGGAACCCCATAAGATCCAGGCTCCAGGACACTGCCCTAGTTACCCTAGCAGTAGGAATGACCCTGGCCATATTATATTTGCAAGGAAAAATTGTAATCTGCTAATCAATTGTTTTATCACATTATTTACTGAAACTGAATCCATAATTTTTTCTAACAATTAAAATCTTGTAAAACTCAGCTTTCATACGGACTTTTTGCTTTAAACCGGCCTCTACCTTGGACTAAATCACAGAGATATAGCAGTTAATCATGTCTTATATGGTATGATAGGTTGAGTAAATCTAATGAAAACATAAAATTCACACATTTTTGAGAAAATGAAGAAAAAATAAAATTCAATTCTTCAGAAATATGTGTTCCTAAATGAGGTTGCTGAGTGTTAATATATCAAAAACAAAATGTCTTAAGTCTACATAGTAAAATCTATATAAATGGGACTTGAATAAGTGGGTAACTTCTGAAGGTGAGACTAATTATATCGTGATATTTTGAAGTCCTGACATTAAATAAAAACCTCTATTAATGAGAATATAAAACCCTGAGTCCATTCAGTTTCATCCACATTTTACTCTGAGTTTGCTTTCAGAGCTCTTGGCATTTGAGGGTTACTCCAAATGACTATTTTCTAAAATTTTTGGGTGCTTCTGCAGTTGAATTTTTCCTAACCTATGCCAACCAAATATCATGTTGAAGAATAGTGGGCTTTTTCAAGAACATCCAATTTCTTATATGCATGTTGCAAATATTGAAGCAAAAGTTAAAATTATTGTCAGAGCGAAAAATTTAAGGTACTATGTGAAACTGATAAGGCCAACATATGAAAAACTTTGAAAATACTTTTAAGGTGCCAAAATCAACTATTTTATTTTAATTTTTTACTTGTGGATTCTTTGAAGAAATAAAATGTAGTGCATAGCACATTGTTTACAAATGGAGCTTCTTGTAAAATAATTGTATTTTTTATAACATTGACCTTTGTCACTGAAACAAATAGAATTTGAATATGTATAAATAAATTCCTCTATAAGTGAGACAAACACTTTTTAACCTTGAGTAATTGAGAAACTCAGCATGAGAGAAACTTCATCAAGTGAGAATTAAATTTTTATTCCTTGAATTTCCACTTAACAAGTTCAACTGTATTTGCAAACTGAAAAAGTCATACAACTCTTTCCAGAAAATGTTATTTTTCCTGTTCAAATAACAAACACTTATTCTGTTTATTAGAAAAAATATATTAATTTTACAGTAGCATATATTTATATTAATATTAATACTTTCTTCATCTTTGAACATCAACTATTTAGAATTAGGTGTCATGTTCAATTTCATAGGTTCAGAGGTTCCCACACATGTTCAAAATATATCTCCTATTATTTCCTTGGGGATGCATTCTCTCTTGGGTTTCCAAACAACAACCAATAGTCAGGTCTTTCAGTTTTATCTTGACTCACTGGTAGGCTAGGATGATTTCTTTCCTCTGTGTGCTGCAACTCCCCATTGTATGATTCATTGATGCCTCTCTCACTATCGACAATCTTATTTTTTGTTTTTTTTCCCTTTTGCTTCACTTTTAGTGTTAAAATATTAGTTGTATCCAAAAGCAAAAAAGGTGATAGTGTATTGTGTTCCATAAAAATAGTGTGCTAACTACTTTATGGTTGAAAACAGCACCATTTGTAACAAATCCATATCGCACACGAAAAAGAAAAGATGCATTAGTGAAATTTCACAATTTTTTTTTTCCAATCATGCTATGACTTTTCAGCATTTTGAAAATACAAATGTATTTGCTTTGATAATATTTGCTTAATTTAATTTTTAAGATGTCTATTCGGTTAGTTTAATTTTTAGAACATTTTTAAATCACTTAATATTTAGATAAATCTATCTAATGATATTAGGTTGTATATTAAGATTCAAGAAGTTGTTAATTTTTAATAAATCAGGATGATCTGCCTAACTTCTAAGATTTCTCTATTTGAACCTCAAGAACAGGTTAACTCCTGATCCACTATAGCAATAAAGAAAAAAATTAAATTAGAGAAACATTATACTAGGAAAATATGTAGAGTCCAAAAAAGTAACTAAACAGCTATTAATAAAAAAATTTAAAAAAGAATTAGAAAAAAAAATAAAAATTTTCTTATATACATACCAGCAATAATTCCCAATATTTTGCGCCTTGATCCATAAGCTGTAATGCCAATGTTAATCAAATCTTGTTCATTCAAAGTCTGAAATACAGGCCAATCAATCTCTTCAGCATGGAATAAATCTGTAAATAATTATTCAATACTTAGTAGTAGTAGTAGTAGTAGTAGTAGTAGTAGTAGTAGTAGTAGTAGTAGTAACACAGATCGCTTGCAATTCTTTGTAATCCTCCCTACAAGGATATCGAAAGCAGTTGGACACCAGACTTTGTTTTCTTGGATTGGAATGGAGTGAGGACAGTGGTAGAGCTTAGGGCACTTCACAGGGGTTGGACTAGCCCCTACAAAGCAGTCAAACTTGTTTTGCCAGAAAAAATTTTACACGAGATTCTCCAGGAATCAAACCCGGACCACCTTGGTGAAAGACAAGCGACTTTTGCTCTGAGCCAGCAGTTGGCTTATTCAGTATTTATTACTCATTAAAAACTAAAGTATATTAATTACTGTGTATTCAGTATTTTATTGTTTTTTCAAAATATAGATGTAATTCTTTCTGTGTTTTCATTTAGAAGGTAATGCTACTCTCATAAAATAGTCTAATGATTACATCACAAATATTATGAATAATGCTGTAGTAATACAGCAAAATCTTTAAATTTTCACAATAATTATGTGAGAACAGAACAACTATTCTTGTTGCCTTTTGTTGAGAATCCACAATAGCAATACTTAAATATTCATTGTCAGAAATTTGTAAAACAAGTTTCTGACAATGAATATTTAAGTATAATAAGCATTTCACATTTTAATCATTCGTATTTTGTTTTAGTTTTATGGAAAAGACTAAAACAAGCACAGTCAAATTCAGTAGTTCTTTTTCTTTTTATAATCATAAATTGTAAAATAGTCTATTCAATATATTGACCTACATTTCGAAACAAGGGTTTTCAATATTTTGTCTTTTAACCATTTAGGTATAATGTTTCACCCTAAGCAGAAAATAAACTGTTTATATTCATTTCATACAAAGTTAAAATGTACTAACATTATAATCAGGGCTCAGATTCATATGTAATAACATGTACTACATGTATGAAAACTAGAAATGATAAAACTAAGGAGGAAATTATGAATTGAAAGTAAATAAAAAATATAAGATAAAGAATATAATGTATTAATCAAATGTTTAAGTTGGATAAATAGTGTGATCAATATTAGCCTAAAAAGAGTGTTTAATTATTTCTTGAACTAATATAGGCTGAACATTTTTGTGCCGTTGAAAGCCAATTTCTAAACTCTTTTCTGACACTTCTTCATTTACAAAGCAGTAAATTACAAAGAACTGTATAAAATTTTTAATGTGAAATTTTGCCTTTTGTTCCAATATTCCTTTGTATTCCACTCCATGGTGACAACTTTGAATCTCACATTATCTTGCAGGGTTAACTTTAGAAGTACTACAGCTAAATTCGATTTACCACTTAAAATTAATTAAAAGGTTAAATATTCCAAAAAAGGTTTTGAACAAATATGAAACTTATTGCTAATAGAATGTTAAAAATCTGCAATATTTGCAATCTGTAAAAATTTGTGAAAATATGTGAAAAAAAGTATATACATAAATAGTTAATCAAATATATTTCGTATAACTTCAAAAAGTCTAATTCATGAGCAAAAGACAAAAGTTTGATTTTACCTAATGAAGAAACAATTAGCATGAAGTTACATAAAACTCCTAGCTTTGAGTATAATTTTAAAATGTTCTTGCAAATTCTCAATTATATTGCAGTGTATTAAAATATTAATGAAAGTTGAGTTTTGCCTGTCTGAAAATCACAAGATAAAATACTGTTATTCACATGACATGCACTTTTTTTATTATTTTGCTCTGATTTCATTGAATATAAAGTTATCAAGCTGAAACAATGTTATTTTTATTTTATTAAGCAAGGGACTTGAAAAAAATTCTGATACTAAAATATTATAATGAAGTTTGATATAGACATTTCTTACAATTTACTCAAATTCTTATGAAAAATTTTTCAAAAACCTAGCAACATACACAAATATTAAGGTTCTTACTAAGAAAATAAGAAGTACCTAAATGTTAAAAAAAAATATTGAAAAAAAGTGAAATATAAAAGTAAAAATAAAACTGGTAAATTTTTAGCTGGAAAGCAATTAAGAAATTACAAAAAATTACCATAATGTAATTTTCATCATACCTATATATTTCTGTAATCCCATGTAGAGCAGAAGTGTGTCTACTCCAAAGTGGCTGTTCTGTAAGTTTTGAGCATGTTCAAGAGCAGTGTTGCATTCACCAGTTGAAGGATTAGTCATCAATTGCATATCAGGGAAATTCTTTCCATGAGTGCTCAGTGGCCTCTGTCCAATTTCAAATGGAGGAGGATTCTGAAAATGAAAATGTTCACCAAAATATAATATACTATGTAATACTTAAGTGGAGAAAGACGTTTTGTAAATAGGGAATCTATTGTGGTGTCGAATCTATTGGGAAAGTTTAATAAAGAATGTATTCATTTCACTGTAAATGTCTTATACCAATTTAGTGAATAGGCTACATTTTATTAAAGATTTTTACCCTTGAACTGCATGTCAGGGTCTCTGCATGTTTATATATCTTCCTGTGAATACACATTTGGCAATGTAGGTCATTGTTGTCATGAAAACACAGTTTGGAATTGAATGTTTTAACAGATGGGAACTCATAAATCTGTAAAGCAGAACCACTGTGATTCACAGAACTTTCTGTTGCATCTCATGATGTCACTCAAAGAGCATGCAATTCTGTTAGAAATTCATCATAAACTATCATATTAATATATTCAACGTATTTGATTTATTTTCAACTGTTGCCTATGACAATATTAATCAATAAAAATCTTTCATTGAGGAGTGTAGTGCTGTCTAAATAACATTCCATCATGAGGGAATTCAGCACTACAAAATCATGAAAATAATTTTTGGCGCACTTGATACACAACAAGCTTTGACAAAATTTCACAGCTATCATACATGTCGAGAACTCTCATAAGAGAAAACTTGACCCATATCCCCACCCCTTTTTCCACACATCCCTATGGCAGGAAAAATATGTTAGTGGATTATCTTTGACTAATAGCCTGTAGCAGCAAAAATACTGCTAAACAAAACCACACAAATAAATTTAATATTTTAACAAAATCAATATTCACAAATAGTGCAATAACATAGTGTAGAATATACACATGAGAATGGTTCTTTACCTTCCAAGCAGTTAAAATGGTTGTTCCGTATTGCAAAATGCAAATAGCACATATATGGTGGTGTGTTGAGTGTGTGTGTGTGTGTGTGGGGGGGGGTAGTTTGGCTCAGTCTCGTCTTTGAAGCCTTGCTGTCACACGACATCAGCTATGTCATGAGCAAGTGGACTCAAAGTAAGAGAATTTGGTCAGTAGATATGAACAAAGCAGGAATAACAAACTGAATATTTGTATTTTTCAGTGAAAATCAAAACTGTTTAATAGAATTGGAGAAAACAAAAATGTTCGATGTCCTGTAGCTTCAAATTTTGAAGAGCAAGTGAAAAGGTTTTTGTTTGTACCGATTCATTTGCTTTTGGAATTTTTCTGATGTCTTGGACATCTAATGAAATTATAGACATCTCTCCTTACTGAAGGTTGTCTCTCATTACTGAATAGTTTTCTTTCAATTTTGCTTTGCAAATTAGTAATATAAAAATTATACATCCCTAAATTTAAGATACTGCGAGAGTCATCTTTTCCAAGGAGCATCTAGAAGAGCTGCACAGCAATAAATTTATTAAGAGATTTCTAAATATCTATTTTGTAGATTACAGAATGAGCAAGGGTGGATTAATGTAAAAACAGACTAAGCACATGCTTAGGGCCTCCAATATCTTAAACAAAAATTCATATTAGTATGATAATTTATATTTAATAATCATAATTCATATTTGATTGGAAATATGGATTTGAAAATAGGCTTGTAAAATTTATTGTGTGAAAATTTGCAGGAGGGTGGAAATTGGAGATGAAAATACGATTTGATAATTGGAAATGCGTAAAAATATTTTAACAGTAAAAATGTCAATTTCAAAGAGAAATGAATAATTTTGTGATTTAAATTGTGAGGTGATATTATTGATTGTCAATAATGGGAATCAATTGTGGTAAAATTAAATTACGTGTTCTTTGAAAATGTTTTTTGCTTTGCAATAGAATTCCAGGAAAGCTAAATTAAGAAACACTCCAATAAGGGAGCAATGTGTTGCAGGTTGCTTTTGTGCCTGCCTAATTTAGAGAAGTTTTTTTCAAGAAATCCTCACACCCATAAAGTGAAAGTTCTAAAAACATCAACTATTAATTATTACAATTATTGCAGTTCGATTTTTGCAAAATGTAAACATTGCAAAAGTACAATACTGAAAGCAGATATTTGACTTCAATGAAATCTGTTCTAAAAAATTAGCTCTTTCAAAAAGGTCAAATTTAAGAAACGAATAGTTTTTGTGGGATTTCAACTTGAGTTTCATGCATCTCATTTTAAAAAATTTCAAAAACTGCTATAAATTTGTTCATCAATTTTTTTCCATAGATAGAAAAAGAAATGCTTAAAAGAATGGTGCAGGTTTAATTTTCATTGAACTCTCTAAGTTTTTGAAAATTGCAAATTTTGAAATATTTTTTAGGTATAATGCAAGAAAGTATGTGCTCTTGTAAATAGTACTAGTTACAATATTTGAGTTATGCGTGGTGATTAAAACAAATCATACAATGTCTTAAATTAAGTTGAAAAAAAAAATATGGGAAAAAAGATCATTTCATGAAAAGCAAAATGGTAGCAATTGCTATTAAGCTTTTTGTCCGAATAGACTTACAATGAAAGAAAGAATTTCTACTAGGATTTGTCAGAATAATGATAAAAGCAAACATTCCATGAAGGTAACTCTATTATGCTTATTTCAGAAACTTTCTACATGAGTACATTAATAAGGATAAGAAAAAAAATATCACACCTTTTTATATATCTATTTTACATTTTTAAATGCCTGTTCTGCCTGCCTATTTCTACAGTTTTTTATGACATAAAATCTGCAGCTTAATTATAACACTGTACATTTAGAAGAGATTATGGTATACAGAAAAATAGAATAATTGAGGGACTATAGCCAACACATTGAATGCAATCAGGGACAGATTTAAGTATTGTGGGGCCCCCAAGCACAAAATTGTGTCCCCCCATAAAAATAGCTCCATCTTTATTAAATTAAAAACTTATCTTAATACAAATACTTTCTGTATAAATGCAAATGATAATTAATAATTTTTTATATAAATTTTTTCACATATGTATAACACTAAATACATTTTATGTTACAAAATATGTAATGCATATTTTTCTGAAGCACAGAACCCCTCATGGATGGGAGCCACCAAGTATTTGCTTGTTTTACTAGTAGGTAGGTATATTGTAATACTTCTTCTCCAATGTTTTAACTTTTCTATAGCTCTTTCCCTCTCATTCCTTGTGTTCATCTCTCCATTTCTCTCTGCTTCTTTACCCCTTTTCCCTCTCAACTCACTCTCTCTCTTTAGTAACTTGAGAACAATACACTGCCAGAAGTTAATGTGATAAGATTTAATATATTTCAGATATTCATTATATGAATATGAGACAAAAGAAGCAATTTGTTATTCAAGGAAGAAAGATAGAAGAAGCCCAAACAGTATATTTTGTAAAGAATTTAAACTATATAATTCAATGCCTGAACAAACTAGAAAATAAAATAATAATTTTTTTTCTTAAGGCAGGCTACACAAAATGATGTGTATTTAGACATTAAACAATCTTAGTTACAAAAATTTATTTTGATAAATTAAACTTGATAAGTAGGATATAACATGAATAATAAATATACTTTTATGTTTTGATAACAAATGAGACTTTTCAAACCTTTTTATCCATCAATTGTAAAAGTAAACATTCAAATAATACAATAAAATAAGGAACAAATAAAAAGTTACACTCATTGCTGAGTAAGACTTTTCAAATTTTAAAACTTCATTTAAAGGTATTTAAAGAAAGTCTTCAGAACTCACCCCAGTCTTCAAGCAATTTTGAATAAAATCTAGGCTATTCAACATCTCTAGCCAGGAAGAGTGTATTCCTTTTCCTCCAGAGTCTGTTAATAAAACTTCTTGGGCTCCTGAAATAATTCAAATTCCAAAAATTTAATTCACACATACACCTTAAGGACAATGTTATTAATCATAATAATTTGCTATGTTTAGCTTGTTAGCTCAGTCATCAAGACTTTTCCTTCACAATGTGAAAGTAGTGGTTTTTCCCTTTAAAAAGAAAATATAAATTTGAATGATTATCATTATCATGAAGAGCCGGTGCTGATTGAGTGGATTGCCCCTTCTGATTACCAAAGGGGCTTGCTAGGTGATGCATGGTTAGCGCAACGACTCCTATTAATCCCTATCTCTATTTAATAGACTGATGATGACATTTCCTTTAGGTAGCTCCTCAATTTATACTGACAAGGCTGAGTAGATCCCATTCTAGACCCAAAAGGTGAATATTTCGCAAGATTGCAGAATTTTCGAGGAATCAAACTCTGGACCTCCAGATTGTAGCTACCCATGCTAGAATCTACACTGTGGAGGTTGTTCTTTGTCATAATATTCAGGCAATTTTGTGGTTTTTAGACAACTTTGTGAACAATTCTTAAAAAAGTCTTAAAAACTGTCCTTTTCTATATATCCCCTGAATTATAGAATATTAGAAAATTTGAAAACTCTTGATTCTAATTTCAAGGTCAACAGAAAATATAGAGCCTAATACATTTAAACATACATCCCATAATTTCTTTCATAATGATACAATTACACATTGAACAAGCAATTGAAGTATAGAACAAAAATATTCAATTTGGGGAGAAATAATACCATTGTAGAAATCTTTTTAGCTTTTATAACTTTTATCAATTATAGTAATTTTGGACAATAATTAATTATACAAACTTGTGGCTGGAATTTAACTCCTACAGCTCCCACACCTTAAGTTGGTATGTGATCTCAAATGAATCTTTGAAGCAAGAAGTTATTCAACTCCAAAATGATACACATTGTTTCATTACACTAACATCTGTGAAATCTTAAATTCCCTTCTGGTCCAGATATCATTCATTACCTTGCATTCCATTGTTTCCTGTAGCAGTTATTGATACTTTTGATAATGTGTCTGGTGTGCTTCTGTTGGGGCAAGATTCAGAAGAACTATCACTTCCATAGCCTGAGAAAAGAAATAGTAGCAATCTTAGTGTAATTTTTGACTTGTCATAATGTAAACTTATCCCTTGACCTTTAATGAAATGTAATTAGTTTTAGATATAAACAAGGAATTCACATTTTATTTTGCTAATACAATTGTTATTATTTGTATTATAACTATCATGTTCAGAGTTCTGAAACTTCAGGAATACAATAATAATATTCTTAAAAATAATATATTACTTGTACTTGTATTGGAAATACTCCTTTGGAATGTGATGCAAAGTTATGTAGTTATTGTTTTGAATAAATTGAAAAACAATTGAAAAAAATTATAGAAAAAATATTGGATTTAGAAGATAATATGTCTTTCCCTGCCACTAATTATTGATTTATTTGGGTACAATTTTGCATCACAATTCTTCTCATTATCTACCTATCCTGTTCATGATCCTTACATCAGCTCTTATATTTTTGACCAGTTGTTTTATATACCATTATAAATCATACAATTATTCAAAGTCCCTCATCACTAAAACACTTCTTATTGTTAAAGGGATGAGGTACATTGGAACTTTCTAAGACAATTGATTCAAATTATTCCCTTGTTCCGATTCCTTGAAAAATTACAGACAGAAAATATCAGAAAAAGTAGCATTATTTGTAGAATATTAACAGAGGCAAAACACTTTAGACTGAGAAAGCCCGTTTTTTGGCAAGTTCACTAAACAGTAAAACATCGCTACGGGTTGTTGATAATAATTTGATTTTACAGAGTAAATTACATTGCAAACACGTTTCTGTGGACTGGGAAGGGAAAAATTTCGAACCATGACCCGAACATTCAGAAATGAATCAAGTCAGCCACTCAAGTGCTGATGAACATTCTAGTCTTAATGTGACGTGTAAAGAAGTAGGAAGAGGGCACAGACCAATGCAATAGCCGAAATGGGAAAGTAGAGAGCATCTGGTTATTGTTGGAGCAACTTTGATAGTTAAACAAGCAACACAAAGCTGCTAGAACATATCTCGCAGGGGAAGAATGTGCATTGAAAATCGTCTACTTCTGCGTGAAAATACACGCAAACCTCACTTGGTGAAGATATTTTTTCAGAAATATCCGAGTCCAGCGAAGAACTTTTTTACGTGAAAGGAGTCTTCATCGTACTTGTATCCAATCCAAGTTGCTGACTGCGGGGTAAACCTGGCTGTCCATCTTCCTTGACTCACGTTCTCCCAGATGTGTTGATAGCGTTGCATTATGAAGTTTCTGGCTTCTCTATGGGCTCGTCCTCTCCCCAGTTGCGTCTTCGTCTGGTAAATCAGTTTCCTCTCCATTGCAAGGAGGTGGATGGAGAGGAAACTGATGAAACATGGACTCGAGCCAACACCAACACCACGGTGGGTTCGAAAATTCTTTTGCGAGAGAAATTAACTCTCAGTGCTCCTTTCCTGTATTCCGCACACAAGCCGTCTGATATATTCCCTAGTGAGCGCATCTGCTCATATCTCTGATCCATACAATACGATAGAGTGAGACACAGAGATAAATAGTCGCCATTTGCTCGATCTCGGTCCTACGACGTTTGCCATGGGCTTGCTTAGTGTTTCGATCACTAGTGAAGATGTATCGATACCTATCTTTAGGTCCAGTAAAGGTGAGTTTGGTGCCTAATGTGAAGCCTACGTATTTTGCGAAAATCATTCTTCCAATAACGTCTGCGTGGACGGTCAACCCGGAACGCGCTCTAGTCTCTCATTCCGAGTCCTTCGTCCGCCATTTTAGCTTCTCCCCGGAGCACGTGAGGGCCTTGTGTCCTCTTTCCTTGTATCTGCAGCAGGTATAATTGCGGTCAGGGCCTGAGCAGTCTCGTGAGAAGTACACACTTGTATCCTAAGCACCTATAAAATCGAACATCAACGATGTGCCTTCTCACTATAATTTACCCATCTCTCTCGGACTTTCGATTTTTGTAGAAGGACGTTTACCATATTTTCCTCCTGTTCAAACATGGCAATATTTGCTCCTGGACGTTTGGGCCGAGCATCGTTATCTTAATATCTGGCGAGAGGTCTAGCAGCCCAAAGTCGAAACTCGTCGCCTTCTGGGAAGTATGCGTCCAGGCCCCGGGCGTACCAGAAGAGTCACTCGTGGTATCAAATGAGACGGTCAGAAGCCAAGCCGACTAACTCTATCAAACGAAATTATGAACAGCTAAAGTTTTTTTATCTATAAAAAGTCTATAATTTTTTCAGTATATTTCGAATAAACTCAATAATTCTTTTTACAATTATATGTAAGTTTTCAGCACTTTATAAATATATTTAAAATACTCGGTGTCCCTCTCTGCCATAAAAATGCCATTTTTTATGGTGTTAGTATCATTGAAACTGAAAGGTATTAACGAATTTTGAATTTTTTGACATAATGTTCTGAATGGTTTCTAAACCAAGTATTTTATTAAATACATTCGCCCAAAATGAAACATTTTTACTAGAAAAATTTACCAGTATTATTGTAAGTAATTAAACAACACTAAAAATTGTCTGAAATAGAAATAAAATGTGTCCATTGCCTCTATTCTGCGTAAGTTATGCAGTCGTCACCACTGGCAGCTTCTTCTTGAAGGATACCTCTTGCAGACTTCAAGCTCTTATAATAGTGGTGATGAATAGCAGGAATAAACTTAAATAGACCTATTACATCCTTTTTTACCTTGGAAATCGGACTGGATGGGTTATAAAAATATTTTGTGGGTCATTAGCTAGACTTTATAAAGGACGTCTGTTTTCATTTTTCTTTTGGATATTAATTTTTCCAAATGTCATTTCTAGTAAGAATGTAGATTTACATTTGTTAGCAAATGGTTCAGCCTTCTCAATACAGATATATCTCATTGTCAGCTAGTTAACTGGCTCAACTTAGAGGGTTTTTTTCTGTTAGAAGAAACATTTTTTAAGTTTCCTGTCGAATGTAAGTCTTTATGGTTAGTTTCTGTTAAGATATAATTGTTTTGTTTTCCTACAATGATATCAAGATATGATATCATTCCAATCCCTTAGAGAAAATATGTGGCTACTAGGTTTTGATATTTTTTCAATAAAGGAAAAATGTGAATCATTCAGAAAGAAATTGTGTTCTGGCATAAGGACATTTAAATCAATAGTTTCAGTATTTCCACTCTCATTTTGTAGATATTTCATGAGAGAGAGAGAGAGAGAGAGAGAGAGAGAGAAAGAGAAATAAAAAGAGAGAGAAAGAGAGAGAGAGAAAGAGCGAGAAAGAGAGAGAAAGAAAGAAAGGGATATTTTCTTCAAAATTGATATTCCTCAATCGAACTGGCTGTCATAGCCCCTTGAATTTGAAATTGATATTTTAATTGCGGAGGGGGGAGGGCTTTACAAAACCTGAGTACTTTTCGCGGAAGTTTGCGTGAAAATAGGAGCGAGAAAGTACGTGCTATTTTAGCTTCACTAGTTCTTCGCCCTTACCGAGTCCATTCTTTTTCTGGGTCCTTTGTGGGGCTCCCTCCTGGATGTTCCGAGTCTGGTGATCGCTTGTCTCTAGCATCGATGTATTGCTATGGGCCTTCATTTCTTTTTTACTTTTAATATTTTCGCCATACGTTTCCTGGTCTTTTGGCCCCCGTGTATGGTGGCTATTGCCACAATGAGTTGAGCCAGTCCGCGTTTATTGTTCGCACCGATCTTCTGCTGTTGGGTGGACTGCTGTCATTCGTTCTGCTCCATCATGTCCCTTTGCTTTTTATGGGGACATGCCTCCATTAGATGCGTGCGGATGTCCCTTCAATTCGTTGCAGAGCTGACTACGGAGATCGCGCGGCCTTTGTCCCATGTTGAGATTCAAAACTCGCCGTGCTGGATGTGCTATGGCACTCTCGGCCGCTCTCCTCAATAGTAATAATAATAATAATAATAATAATAATAATAATAATGCCGGTCCGGCTAGCTGATATTGCCAAGGCAATAGTGCCGTAGTGCTATTAAGGATCGTGAGTTCGAATCCCGCCTCGGGCATCGTTCTGAGTATTTCTGACAATGTTTGTGATTTTTCACTCATTATTCATCATCATCTCATACTCTATCATTCCAGGGCTAAAAATCCTGAGGTGTAAAAATGGATTCGGCATATAAGTACTGATTCGCCCAAAAAAGGTTACGTGCACTTGTCCCCGGGAGGATATGACTGGACCTGTGTGTACAAGAAGCAAGTGACGCGTTCGCATGGCTCTAGGATGACCAATTTGCGACAAATAATAATAATAATAATAGTAATAATAATAATAATAATAATAATAATGAGAAGAAGAACTGTAAAATTGCGAGCAAATCTATATTTACTGTTTTAGTGTCTAGTTCGTAACAATGGTAACAATAGGCCATCTAAAGATTCATTTTCTGGATCGCTTCGAAACAAGTCTAAAACTGTGATCGAGTCAAATATAAATAATAATTGTAATAAATGATAAGTGCCAAATTCAAACGCGCTAGCGAGTTTTGAATATTAAGAAAATGGTATTATATTTGACAGAAAATGTTTATCATGCAATTTACTTCTGTCATTGATGAGTCGTGAATTTGAAATTAGGTTTATTTACCAAGTGACCAAATAGTCATTGAATCTGTCTTAAAATTACAAGTTTTTGAAGAGAATATCATGACTCACATTTTGGAATGGAACCCACGACTGGAACATTCAAAAGACTTGGCTTAGTTGGAATATGGTATGTTTCTGGAATTTCAGCAATGACAGGCGCTTCCGTTATTCCCAGCAAGATTCTTCGAGCTTCATAGATGTTGGCTGGAAAAAATAAATTGTTGAAAGAAACAAATGTTTCTTGATAAATATTGGCAATATTAAAACCTGATAAATAATTTACTACGGCGTAATCAAAGATTGGCAGATCTGGCACATGCGTTACTAGGCGTCGTGCTTTCCCACTCCCAGGTATCTCCCACCAGAAGTGCACTAAAGCAGCCGGAACGAGCTCTGTTCTCCCGACTGGTCTCACGACATCGTGGTAGCGTAGTGCATGTAAATTTATGTGAAACGAAAGAGACGAGGAGCGGGCAAGAATAAGGAAGGAACGACAGCACCCGCTGTTCTTGGTCTTTGATAAGGTACAGCTCCTGCATTCGACTGTTTGTTATTGGTCGGAGAAACCATGGAAAACTACTGATGAAATCAGCTGGCGTGGGATCTCTTCCAGACAGCGGTTGAATTCGACTTAGCTAAGACTATGCTAGGG